TCAGCAGGATAAAAAATTGAGGATGAAGTTTTATGAAACAAGGTGAGCTAACGTTCACAACCTAGTGCTGCTGAAAGAGTCATCCTGCACTGTCCTGTTATTTACCCGGTTATGACGAGTCGCATAGGCTCGGCAAAGGGGTCCAAATGTCTGCTAGACCTGACAAGGGAGAGATATTGGACCACGCTGGAGGCAGATAGGAAGGAGGTATTCCTCTTTCAGCAGCAGCACGCTGCTATGTTACCTTAGCCACATGTCACACCGCTACCGAAATGTTCCCAACTCCAGCTTACGCTTTAACACATATAAAAGAATTATCCTAATTCATTGGCTGCGAAATTTAAAGAGCTTTTTGCTACATTTGCCAGAACAGGTGAAAGTCATGAGCTGCCTTGGCATCCCTAGGGTTTTATTCCATGTTAGCTAAATTTGTGTTATGAATACACATTGTTTCTTGGGGGAGGACTTGCCTTGAGGGTATTGATTTTATTACAGCTGGATTCAGGTATCCCTATTATCCACCCTTCTCCTTTCCAACCTCCTTACAATGAGCAGGTGGAGTATTTACATTTGCAAGAATTGTTAGCTCCTGCTTACACGCAGAGATAATGATATCCTGTAATACCACACTTTGTGGTTTCTGTTACCAGTAGGCTGCTTGGCTTGCGTGTTGAGCTTTTCAAGATGGTAGCAGTGAACTATTTGTGAGGAGATGATACTTCTTTCATGGATTAACAGATTAAAAAATGCATTAGATGCCATGACAACAATAAAAAAACCCAAACATTGAGGGGTACTATTATTATTATTATTTATTTAATAGATGCTATCTTAAACTTCATTATTCTTGACTGTTCACACTTTGGCTCTATCTGGTAAGTTTAATGACATCTTCGTGTTTGTATAAATCATTGTGTAAATTCTCATTTGCATCTATCAGCAACATATAATATTAACATCTGCAAAAAAGAATAAAGGGCTACCGCTTTATCTGAAAACAGAGCTTCAGTGAGGGCCTAGCACACCAAGGCAGCCACAAACCCAGTCTCATTAAAAGAAAATCAGGTGTTTCTAATGCAAGTGTAAGTCTTCTAGCAGGCAATGACCTAGGAAATACACCTTTCCCCATACACACTGTCCAAATCCTTCCATGCAAATGGCTGATAACTCAATGTAATCCTAGTGAACAAATAGAAGCCTCAAAATAAAGCAAGCAAGCCAAGTACTGGCTTGGAGGCTCCAGAACCAAATCCATATTATACTATAAACTCTAAGAGAAAGGCCCATCCATACAGACAACCAAAAATCAGAAGCTATAGTTTTTAGGAGAAGACACGAACTGTGAGGTTTGCAGGCAGTTTCTCAGCGAGGGCCAGTGTAATTTCAGAGCAGCTATTTTCCATAAATACATCCCAAGCGCCATCCCGTGGGGATCGGCAGTCTGACAGCACTCACTCCTTACCCTGCAGGGCAGGAGGGCTGTAATTAACAGGTGGAGGTCTCCTGAGCAAAGCAGCAAACTCATAATGAGGACGTTTTCTTCACTTAAAGCAATTAAGCCACTCCACTTTCCATCAGAAATATAAGAATTGCAACTACAGTAAGCAACATCTCCTCTCAAAAAGATAATGAAAGCCAATATATCAATATAATTATTAATAATAACATCAATTCTTAGTATTACTACTAATAATGAAAGCAGACAGAGATTGGTGGTTTGAGTTGCAATTTCGTGTAAAAAGTTCCAATCTGAATGACTGGTTTAAGACCACATATGAAGCTTCCTTAAGTTTACGCTGTCTGCAGTTCTCCATGCACCTACACTATCATTTGGTACAAACTATTACATGTAGGGCTCTCTCTCCTGCTGCCTTTTACCAAAATCAATACGTTACTTTGGGGATTATATGAAACCCTGACATCCCTTTAATCTCGTTTTTGTCTTTCTAATTTATTATCATTCCTCAAATCATATTCCATATGCTCGTGATCATTTTAATTGCTTCCTAGAATTGCTCAACCATGCAACATCCTTGCCATAAA